GATTTTGGCGGTGTTATCAAAGCGCGTTGCACCCGGGGCTTCCGTTTCATCTGGCAACCGATGCGACAACTCAGCGCCCGCCAGCTGCCACATGTCAGCTCAGTGTACTTTGAACCAACCAGGTTTGGCAGGTCCAGTGCCACAAGCAGTGACGAATCAGCTGGAGAAGATGCGGAGACAGAGCCTCACAGCACTCAACAGGAGATGTTGAATGCAAACAAACCGTTCCCGTGCAGCCATCCTTCATGTCATTCTTTTCATTCTTCTGAGAGCGGCTATTGCGAAAGGCACCGTTGGTCAGGCCTTTTCAAGAGGATTTGTGTTGTAAGAAATGCTTGGCGCCAGAATGTGGAGCTTAGTGTGCTGATTCTCGCACAAGCGGTGGCAGAGGTAGAGAGCCGATTTTTGTTGGTTCTGCTGGTTCTCAGCCTGTTGCCCGTTGCAAGTTATAGCTTTTCTGAGTCGACAGGAGTTTCTGGCACGCTGATTTTTTTGATTGGTATCTCAACTGCGATTGTCAGCATTTTCTACACCACAGCTCGGCTCAACCAAATGCAAGCACTCTCAAAGAAGCTTGAGGTTGAAGCAGAAGCTTTGTATGCAAAGCATTTGCAGAATGACATGTCCAGGCTTTTCGGTGATTGGGGTAGAGACGATATTGCCCAGCCTCAAATCACAAGCTTGACGGAACACTTCGTCGAAGCTAGAAAGCATCTTGATGACTTCGACAAGAATCTGTGCCTTCCACTGCGAGAGTTCTTGGAGGAGCAGCCTGGTTCCATATCTCGGCAAGATTTGCGGCCCGTACTGATGACAGTGCCAGTGGCACAAGAGGCTGTCGTGCGAAAAGGTGAGCCCAGTCGAATCGTAGATCTCTTGTATTGCGATGTAATCTTCGATGATTGGGAAATAATGCTCAGTGCGTGGTGCTTTCTGCAAACGAGAGCAGAGTATGATGAGTTGAGAGAAATCAAGATTGTGCGTACCCGCGATTCTTTTGCTTCAGTCCATGCTGGTGTCAGATGTGCCGAGATGGTGGTCAAGATCAACCACTATTTAGCCACGATCCGTTTCCGTGAAGCCTCTTTGACAAAGCTGGAGAATCAAGTGGATGATGTGCACCACTTGGCAGAACAGGTGGGACTCCTGGCAGGCAGTTTGCAGGTAGATCCTTTGCTTATGTCTGGGCGACCAGCACAGCAATCACGATTGGTAGTCGTTGTTGTTGCTTTGCTTCGGATCAGCTCATTACTTGCAGCAGTGTACCTTGGGGGGCAATACTTTGTGCGGTATAGTCCACCTTTCATCCGTTCCAAGCTTCCACAATTGATCCGAGATGCCTTTGCGCTCAAGCAGACAGTTGAGCCCAGTGATGGGACATTGCCGGAGGCTGTCACGTCTAATTCTGGGGGATGGTTGGAGGAGAGCCTTTCGCAGCTGTTGCCTTCCCTTGTTTTCTCTTTGCCGTACCTGGCCTTGATCATCGTCCTCCTGAGCGACTTGCGCCGGCGGTGTCGGTCAGCCAATATCAAGTTGAGGCCGCTGAAACCCACCCAGTTCCTCTACGAGGAGTATTTTGGCATTGAAGGCACATTCTACAGCTTCAAAGTTGCAATGCTGCAGTTATTCACAGTGATGCTACAGGCCTTTGGAAAGCTCCAAATCATGGGTGGCCTTGTGTCATTTGCATTTCATTCAGCTCCGAAGCATTCAGATGCGTTTGAAGGATGTTTTTGGGCTTTTGTGGGTTTCCTCTGTTTGAACAGCATCTATCCAACCATTTTGTTGGGTTTACCCACTGTGATGTGGGTGCGCCGTGGCGCTGCGATGATGGATGCGATTCTCGATATTGCTTACACCACCACATACCTCGTCATCACGTTGCTGGCCATCTACGAACTACAGCTGGACCAAGCCATTCGAGGAAATTTCGGGGATGAGGCTTCGGTGAACTTCCAAGCAGAGTTGGACCCGGCATTTGCGTTCCCATCCGACTTTTTTGGTTTCTTTGCTGTCTACTATTCACTTGCACATGTTTGCACAGTTTGCCGTGCCTTGGAGCGAAGCGATCGATCGACCTACTGGAAGAGAATGCAAAGCTTACCAAACTCTGCTTCCCAGTCACTGCTGAGCCCATCGAGATTTTCTTGCTCAAAGAGATACCGGATTTGTTGCAAAGCCTTGCATTTTTGCTGCATTGGTTTCGTTTTATGTTGTCTCTGCAGTTTTCAATTTATCGTGTTTTCGCAACCTGTTGACACAATTTGTCATGTGAGTATCTCGAAGCCCCTCAGCTTTTCAACATATTTGTACAGAGGAGGCGTCTTGTTGTTCTCAGCTTTACTGTACTTGTTGCACCCTTTTGTGCGTCCTCAAGCATACTAATACAATCATATACACCACTTCTTAAGTTGTTGTTCCCCAGCATCAACAGCCAAGGGGGTTCCAGGGCTTTCGAAAGGTTTTTCAGCGCGTTTCAGGGTTGCAGGAGTCTCACAGGTCCAGGATTCCGAGGTGTATTCCAAGTATTTCAGGGTTTCCAGCAAAGGCACTCGCGAAGTAAACAAATGGATACCTATGATACCTATGTCTTCAATATCAATCCCCCTGAGATTGGGTTTCTGTTTCATGGCGTGAGTTTGTGTGCCGGAATGGCCCCCCTTTTCATTTCATCGGGCTTTGATGGATGAACTCGAGTTCTTTGTTTCTCCTTGCAACCACTGCTCAGGTATTCGCCCTGTTTGCTTGCCACGATCGTTGCCCTGCTGCTTTCGTCACACTTCTACCCGATTCACACGGCTGATTTCGGATGCTTTCCGTGTCGCTGTCACCAAAAGGATCATGGTGCAAAGCACCTTGCGAGTTGCAGCCTTGTAGGCGTTCTTCACCTCAAAGATGTGAGTTTGAGTGAGCAGGACATCACAAGTGTTGCAGAGGATGCCTTCACTTCTTCACGGAGTTTGCAACGGTTATCGCTCTCTGGCAATCGGTTGTCATTTTTACCTGAGAAGGTGTTCGCTCCTTTGGACAGCTTGCAATTGCTGGACTTGGGCCGCTTGGGTTTGAAGCACTTGGAGTCTGACACATTTGCTGGGTTGTCAAGTTTGAGAATCTTGTCCCTCAGCCAGAATCGTTTGAACGCATTGCCAGGGGACTTGCTGCGCTCCATGCCAGCCCTGCAGCAATTGTTGCTGGGGGGTAAATCTGATGAGAAGGGCAATCGGATCGTTGATGGAAACGAGCTGAGCATACTCCCGCAAGAGCTTTTGCAGCACAGCCCGCGGCTACAAGTTCTCGATCTGAGCGAAAACAAGTTGACCTCGCTGCCACACAATGTCCTTGATAAAATTCCTTTGTTGGAGACCCTCGACCTTGCCTCAAACAAGCTGACTGAATTGCCAGGCGAAATCTTTTCAGGGCTCAACAAACTCCAGGAGCTGGACCTGAGTCGGAACCCTCTCAGTGAGCTACCTGCTGAAGTCTTTTCCGGGTTCGGCAGGTTGCAGGAGCTCCACCTGAGTTACAACTCGCTCAGTGAGTTGCCTGCTGAAGTTTTTGCAGGGCTCAGCAGCTTGCAGAAGCTCATCCTGGGGTACAACTCGCTCACTCGGTTGCATGCTGGAGTCTTTTCAGGACTCAGCAACTTGAAGGAACTGGACCTGGGTCGCAACTCGCTCAATGAGTTGCCTGCTGAAGTGTGGCCCGATCTCTTCGCAGGTCTTAGCAACTTGCGGTGGCTGAGCCTGAGGTCCAACAAACTCGGCGAGTTGTCTTCTAAAGTCTGGTCCAAGTCGTTTGCAGAGCTCAGCCACTTGCAGGAGCTTTACTTGGGCGACAACGATCTCAGCAAGTTGCATGCTGAAGCCTTTTCCACGCTGGGCAACCTGCGAAAACTTGTCCTCGATAGGTGCAGGCTGAACGAGTTGCCTCCTGAAGTCTGGGGTAGTCTGTTTGCAGGGCTCAGCAAGTTGCAGGCGCTTCACTTGGGCGGAAACGATCTCAGCGAGTTGTCTGCTAACGTCTTTTCAGGGCTCAGCAACTTGCGAGAGCTTGGCCTAGGACGGAACGAGCTCAGTGAGTTGCCTGTTGAAGTCTGGGCCAATCTGTTTGCAGGGCTGAGCAGCTTACAAGAGATTGACTTGGGCAGCAACAAGCTTAGTGAGCTACCTGCTGAAGTCTTTTCAGGGCTCAGCAACTTGCAGAAGCTATACTTGGGTTGGAACAGACTCAGTAAGTTGCCTGCTGAAGTGTGGGCCCATCTCTTCGCAGGTCTTAGCAACTTGCGGAAGCTAGACCTGAGTTCCAACGAACTCGGCGAGTTGCCTTCTAAAGTCTGGTCCAAATCGTTTGCAAGGCTCAGCCACTTGCAGGAGCTCTACTTGGACGAAAACGATCTCAGTGAGTTGCCTGCTGGAGTCTTTTCCGGGCTCGGCAACCTGCAGAAGCTTGTCCTGGATGAGAACAGGCTCAGTGAGTTGCCTGTCGAAGTCTGGGGTAGTCTGTTTGCAGGGCTCGACAACTTGAGGTGGCTCTTTCTGAGTGACAACAAACTCGGCGAGTTACCCGCTGAAGTCTGGGCCAAATCATTTGCAGGGCTCAGCCAGTTGCAGGGGCTTTACTTGGGTGGAAACGATCTCAGCTCTAGTGAGTTGCCTGCTGGAGTCTTTTCCGGGCTCGGAAACCTGCAGAAGCTTGTCCTGCGTGAGAACAGGCTCAATGAGTTGCATGCTGGAGTCTTTTCCGGGCTCGGCAGGTTGCAGGAGCTGGACCTGAGTTGGAACAAGCTCAGTGAGTTGCCTCCTGAAGTCTGGGGTAGTCTGTTTGCAGCGCTCGACAACTTGAGGTTGCTCAACCTGGGGTACAACAAACTCGGCGAATTACCCGCTGAAGTCTGGGCCAATATGTTTTCAGGGCTCGGACATCTGCAAGAGCTTCGGCTGTGGGGCAATGGTCTCAGCGAGGTGCCGGCAATTTGTTCAGCTATAAGGTGCGGCGCATAGGCCACTGATGGCGCGAAAATCATGGAGCGCCTTGCCTGGGATCGGCTTGTGGTCGGGGTCTACCCACCACGTATAGGTGCAAGGGTTTGTTGAGGTCATGAGGCTAAGGATCGTCTCTACATATAGATGACACACCCATTCAAGATCATTTAAGTAATAAGATTCCACACTTCACCCCGTTTCAACCCCCAATGTAGATTCATAACCTCCCATATGTTTCGTATGTTTCGTATATGTTTCGTATATGTTTCGTATTGTTTATTTGTTTGATGATTTTAGATGCTTTTTTCCGAGGCGTAAACTGGAGCGTTGGGTCACCGAGGTCCAAGGTGCTGTTTTGATGCCTGCTGAGGGGCGGGTTGTAATCCATTAATGGCTGGGATGATGTCTGGGATGTCTGGGATTTTCTGGGATTTTCTGGGTTCCAACTTGCCTCTACTTTGAAAATCTTTGAAAATCTTTGAAGCTCATTTGATCTCATTATTCTTTGGGGTTCAAGATGGCGCTGCGATACTGGAAGGCTTCCACCAAGAGAACAACAGAGTCTGAGTTGAGCAAAAAGGGAAGAAACGCTGGAGCCCCCATGTGACCAAACAGAAATCCGAGCATGAAAGGCGGGCCTGGCTGACTGACCATGTCAATTTTTGCTGGTTCCCCTTCAACTTGAACTGTGGCTGGGTGAGCGCATATTTACCCCTATGAAACTGGTGTCCAGCTGTGTTGGGACACTGCATTATTTTTAGGAATCCTTGGTGTCCAGCTGTGTTTCAGTCAGTTCTCAGTTGTGCTTACGCACCCGGTCAGGCAGCGCTGCTACTCGGCGGAGTGCGCTTGACAAGGCGCCCCAGGCGCCATCTGGGAAAGTCGTGGAAAAAGGGTTGGGTTTCCGCCATTTTCATGTGGATGAGTTTTTCGTAGTTTCCAATTTTTCGCATGGGGAAGAAATGCTACTTCGATCCAGAAGTGACTATAGTACAATATTAGTACCACTTGTTTGTTCGTGGTCTGGGCTAATTACTTAGATTCATGGGAGCAGTTTAGGCTTAGCTGAAACGGCCTACTAGGGCCCAAGGCGGCGACAAAATCAAGCGACTCAGTTCAGCTATTTGATTTGCTTGAATGAGTGGCATGACTGGTGGTGACCACAACATCATCAGCATGCCATTTTATCAGAATACTTCGCACCACAGCTGTTGGTCTGTCTTCGTTTTTACATGAAATGTGATCACATGTGATCCACGACGGGGTCCATCAACCGGGAAGTGCATGAAAATCTGTGCAGTGATCCACCCAATCACCATGTCACCAACAATGCAGCGAGGCAGCGAGACGAGCTGAGATGGTCCGGCTGAAAACCACACAGCTCTTAAGGCGTCACCGAAGGAAAACTTGACAGATACAGATATTTGCCCATTCCTTCTGTGTCTACTGTCGGCAAGTTTGAGTTCATGATGATACAGTGCAAGCTGTCACTCATGTTAGCCACAGCTTGTGATGTTCAACACCTTCAAGTTGAGAAACTGACCCCACTGAATCTGCCAGTTTTCTGACCCAAAATCGTCCTTGGTTGAAAGCGAACTCATGACCTGGGCGCCAACTTATTCGATTTTTGTCCTGTTTTTTCTCGTCTTTTTGGGAGGGTGATGTTCATCCGCAGTCGGCTCGCTGCCAGGCGACTCGTGGAGCTGCCAAATTGGATAGCGAGGCGAGTGGAGCGGGAGAATTCCATAGGGTTTGGATACATTTTTTTTAATTGAGGCTAAAGAATCTAAAACTTAAACCTGACTGGAGTTGGACTTGAAGATTTGAAGACTTGGTGGATTTTCGGAACTCGGAATTTCGATGTCGACATTTTGGCATCGAAAAAATATTTCGCAAGCTCTGAAGACCTGGGTCGCCAGGTGGAGTAGCACGATGTACGTGATGTACGTGATGTACGTGGAATTTCTCCTTGATACATTCTCCAGATTTCTCCAGTGCTGTACATTTGGAGATTCAGAGATGATTCAGAGATGATTCAGGAGATGACTTTCCCACTTTGTGAGCGCCCAAATTTCACTTGCGAGCCCTGCGAGCCCATTGCTGTCGTCTGAATTCCCCCAGTCCGACCCCGTGAGCACCGGATAGAAAGGTGCATCTTGCAGCCACGGTGCATGGAGGACACCGCCTCTGTGGTTACACGATGGTTGACATCAGAGTTTTTGGGGACCGAGTCTTGGAACTTGGCGAATCTTGGAGGGTTTCCAGTCCATTGGTGTAATACGTCTGGGACTTGATGCAGGACTTCGCGGTCCTGGAAGAGCTGGGAAACCAAGCATATTGAAGCTTTCAGAAGCTTTCAGATTTGCACCGATGGTGCGTTGAAATAGATGGAATCTGAAGATCTACGGCGATTTTGGACGATTTTGGACCTAGCTTGCTTTGGAAGATTTTGAAGGGTCCGTGTCAGCCATCTTGACTTGGTTGTTTTGGACGTGATGCCCATTTTGTGTCTTGGTGGCTTCCTCTCAAGACGGACCTGTGCCGCATCTGCATTCTGCGGTGCCACTCACCTTGACATGAAACCCTGGGTAGCCAAGCGCATTGAGAATAAAGCAGCCAAATCTCATGTTGCGCAAAAGAAAGTCAATGATAAATGATAAATAAATTACTTTACTTCGTGTGATCCCCACCATGACATTTATACATTTTCTTACTGGCAAATCTTCTGGCATTCTATCTGACATATCTTCTGACATTCTATTTGACATTCTATCTGGCATATCTTCTGGCATATGATCTGGCATATCTTCTGGCATATCTTCTGGCATTCTATCTGGCAAATCTTCTGGCATTCTATCTGGCATATCTTCTGCCACTCTATCTGACATATCTTCTGGCATTCTATCTGGCATATCTTCTGGCATATATTCTGACATATCTTCTGGCATTCTATCTGACATATCTTCTGGCATATATTCTGACATATCTTCTGGCATATCTTCTGGCATATCTTCTGACATATCTATCTGGCATATCTTCTGGCATATTTTCTGGCATTCTATCTGGCAATTCTTCTGGCATTCTATCTGGCATTCTATCTGGCATATCTTCTGGCATATTATCTGGCATTCTATCTGGCATATCTTCTGGCATATCTTCTGGCATATCTTCTGACATTCTTTCTGACATTCTTTCTAACTTTCTTCTGCACATTCTTTGTCCCATATCTTCCTACATGAGGTCCGGCAGGGAACACTTGTCGTGGATACTCGCGGTTGAGGTCCGGCAGGGAACACTGGGCGTGGATGGTCGTGGTTGAGGTCCGGCAGGGAACACTGGGCGAGGATGGTCGTGGTTGAGGTCCGGCAGGGAACATTGGGCGTGGATGGTCGTGGTTGAGGTCCGGCAGGGAACACTGGGCGTGGATGGTCGTGGTTGAGGTCCGGCAGAGAACACTGTGGGTCGCGGGTCGCAGTTGAGCAAGGACGACGAGGACGACGAGGACGACGAGGAGGACGAGGAGGAGGAGGAGAGGAGGACGAGGCAGGAGGAGGCGGAGGAGGAGGAGGAGAAGGAGGAGGAGGAGGAGGCAACTGACATAAAATCTAACAACCCTCACCTGGCAGGTGGGGAACCATCGACAAATCTGTGTATTGTTACAGACTGCACTTAATTCGTGCCGCTGGACAGCGCAAAGGATTCGCTGCCTCATGTCGGTCTCTGTGGATATTCCTGGACAAGGTTACTTTGATATCAAACTGACTGCTTCGAGCACCGCTGCTGACATTATTTTATTGCTACGTGAGCGTTTGCCAGACAGCCCATGGCATGGGAACAAGTTGCTGTCAAGTGGGGTCTGCCAGCTACAGTGCGATGACATTGTGGAGGCAACCCGCCACAGCACTTTAGTCTTGACAAACTACTCAGAGATCACTAACCAGGAGAGAAACCTGCAGCTTTGTTTCTTTTTTCGATAGGTAATGCAGACCATGCCAGGTCCTCCGCAGCCAGTGGCAAATCACGATTAGAAACTAAATGCCAACAAGTCACGAAAGGTAGCGTCAGCTACCTGAGTTCTCCGTGCTTCAGCACAATCATAGGGGGTATTGGGGGGCCAGCCCGTGGAAAACGTAGAATTCTCGACGTTATGTTTAGATATCAATTATAAGGGGGGGGCCACCTGTACGTTCGACACTTGGAGGCTATATCGCAAGCCAAGAGGCTATGGACCAATACTAATCAAAAGGCAGCAAAGCAAACAATAGGCGCAAAATGGACGCAACTGATTCCGCCTGCTTCGGGCCGTAATAGGCTTTCCAGAAAGACATGCCGATGAAGCCGGTGGAACCGCTGGCACCGATCAGGCCAATTGAGCCGATGAGGCCGCTGGAGCCGATGGAGCCGCTGGAGCCGATGAGGCCGATGAGGCCGATGGAGCCGATGAGGCCAATTGAGCCGATGAGGCCGCTGGAGCCGATGGGGCCGCTGGAGCCGATGAGGCCGATGGGGCCGCTGGAGCCGATGAGGCCGATGAGGCCGATGAGGCCGATGGAGCCGATGAGGCCAATGGAGCCGATGAGGCCCCTTGAGCCGATGAGGCCGATGGAGCCGCTGGAGCCGATGAGGCCGATGAGGCCGATGGAGCCGATGAGGCCGATGAGGCCGATGAGGCCGATGGAGCCGATAAGGCACATGGCGCCGATGAGGCCCCTTGAGCCGATGAGGCCGATGGAGCCGATGAGGCCAATGGAGCCGATGGGGCCGCTGGAGCCGATGAGGCCGATGGAGCCGCTGGAGCCGATGAGGCCGATAAGGCCCCTTGAGCCGATGAGGCCGATGAGGCCGATGGAGCCGATGAGGCCGATGGAGCCGATGATGGCCCCTTGAGCCGATGAGGCCGATGGAGCCGATGAGGCAAATGGAGCCGCTGGAGCCGATGGAGCCGCTGGAGCCGCTGGAGCCGATGAGGCCGATGAGGCCGATGAGGCCGATGGAGCCGATGAGGCCGATGAGGCCGATGAGGCCGATGGAGCCGATTGAGGCCGATGGAGCCGATGAGGCCCCTTGAGCCGATGAGGCCGATGGAGCCGATGAGGCCGATGGAGCCGATGAGGCCAATGGAGCCGATGAGGCCCCTTGAGCCGATGAGGCCGATGTAGCCGCTGGAGCCGATGGAGCCGATGAGGCCGATGGAGCCGATGAGGCCGATGGAGCCGTTGAGACCGATGCAGGCCGATGAGGCCGATGAGGCCGATGGAGCCGCTGGAGCCGCTGGAGCCGATGACACCGATGAGGCCGATGGAGCCGATGAAGCCGATGGAGCCGCTGGAGCCGATGAGGCCGATGGAGCCGCTGGAGCCGATGGAGCCGCTGGAGCCGATGAGGCCGATGAGGCCGATGAGGCCGATGGAGCCGCTGGAGCCGATAGAGCCGCTGGAGCCGAGGCCGATGGAGCCGATGGAGAGCCGATGAGGCCTGGAGCCGATGAGGCCGATGAGGCCGATGATGAGGCCGATGAGGCCGATGGAGCCGATGAGGCCGATGGAGCCGCTGGAGCCGATGAGGCCGATGGAGCCGCTGGAGCCGATGGAGCCGATGAGGCCGATGGAGCCGCTGGAGCCGATGAGGCCGATGGAGCCGGAGATAGATCCTACGCAGTATTGCCAGTATAAAGAGAGTTGCAGGTTACAGCTACATGGGTCGAGACACCTTAACCCAGTCCACCCTGCCTACATGCGCAAGAAGTGGTGCCGCAAAATCGACGCCGACCGTCAATGGCACGGCCCCCCCCCCTCTAAAATGGTCAAGGGTTCAATTCCCACGGGTGACGCGGTCACGGTCCGCCACAGTAGAGGCACACTCTCCATGAGGGAGATGTCCCGCATAATTGGTTTGCTTCAGCCTCAATAATAACAGTTGCTGCAAGGGGTCTTAAAAAGGGGTTTAAAATAAACCCCTTTTCGTGCATCATTTCACGCTGCACAAGACACCGTATCATGCAGTCATGCTGTGGATAAAATCATCTTAGACTGCGCAAAAACGTTTTTGGTGTATCATCTTAGGGGCGCAGCATTTTGACACCACTCCTCTCCCACTACACTACCTTTCGTCCGCCTCCGCCTGCTCTCAAGTATACCAATTGCAACAAGTGCAGCAGTGTGATGGACCGATTCATTTTTTTGTTTTGGGATTCAGTGGTTTAAACGCATTTTGAACTGGTGGCTTGTGAGATCTACTTGATAGTGGGGGAACAGTCGGCCACTGAACAGGCGCCTTTGTGCATTGAGACCATGTGAAACAAAGGCTCTGTTGTCAATAGAATAAAGAGAAACTTCAGCGGCGTCTCCTTGAGACCATGTGAAATAAAGGCAATATAACTTTAACCAATAGGACCAAATAGAATAAAGAGAAACCGTATTTAAAAGTCAATCGTTTGAAATTCAGAGATTGCAGGCCCATGATTCCCATGATTGAACCTTTTGAGGGTACTGCACAATGCTTTTCGAATTCCATTCCAATTTCATTTGCTGCATTTGTTGGTGGACCTGTCGAAGGAGCCTTTCTGCATCGAAGATACTGCAGAGCGAGGGATCACTCGCGAACAATTGGCAAAAATTGTTGTTTTCATCTCCAAGATGGCTGACAGATGGTGCGAGACTTTCGGAGAACAGCGTGGGACAAGGCTGCAGTTTGAGACCTTCAACCTGTATGATGCGAATCACTGGATCATCAAACCAGCCACCGAAGCCTGGATTTGTTGATGATGTGACAACATTTTCCAATTTGAAGAATCTACCGTTTTTCTTTTTTAATTGGCAACATTATGTAGAATCCCAGGACGGCTATGCGAAAAAGGGCTGCAGCATGGTTGAGATCATGGCGATTCAAGTGCAGAGACCTCACTGGTTTGTGTCACATGCTTGGATCGAGCCTTGGATAGGCAAACTCTCAAGGTTGTTTGAGACCGTGCTATTGCATTGTCTGTCAGCAACAAGTTTCTTTTTCCATCCGGGATCAAATAACAGCTACATAAAGGGGAGGACTTGGGCTACAGTACAGATTGCCAGCCAGGGGTCGTTTTGTACAAAAAAATGGAGTTGGGCCAACCTTTTTGTATTTGCATTCATTTTGTGGTTGTTTCCTTTCAAATCCTCATTTGTATTTTGTAGTTGTATATGTTGAGTTAGTTGAAGCATCCAACACAAAAAATATCATTTGCATTTTGTAGTTGTACAAGTTGAATAGGTGAAGCATCCAACATGAAATCTCATGTGCATTTTGTATATATTATGTTGAGGAAGTTGAAACATCAATAAAATATGTACGATTTAGTTCGACGTCACGACGTCACCCCCAAAATGTTTAATTACTGAAATTATGTTGGTCGGAACTTTGGATGGCATAGGCCCAACTACAAAATGTTATTGGGAAAATTCATGTTGGCATTTCCGATTCTCAGATTTTTTTCAACTTCAGATGCATTGGTTTTTGTATAGTGCATATTTTGAATTATTTTCCGAGTCAAATTAAGTTGTGTTCTGTATTTTGTAGCTGCAAAAAGGTACCATGAACCATGCATCGAATTTGGTAGTTGCGCACCCTATGCTTTGTGTCTTGTACCTATCAAAGTCCTCTGCAAAACTCCTCCCCCCTTATCTGAACCCTGATCTTTTTCCGCTAATAATTCACATTCCCCTAGAAGCCTTGGTTGAGTTTTGGACTTGTTCATTTCGGAACCTCAATAGGATGCTGTATCAAAAAGAAATGAACATTCAGCGTAATGATAGATGAAAGTCAATCTATTGCTTTGAAGCACGTCCAATTTTGTGTTGGGCAGATCTGTGAGGAGCCTGTTTGTAAGTTTCTGGCCTGCTTGGAGCAGCATGCTCTGGTGCGAGAACTCTCAAGTAGTACATTCTATTGGGTTTGTGCATATGCCAATAACCAGCACTGCGTGGAAGAGGATATCAAAAGCAATCCACGCAGCACTTCATTCTACAGAGCTATGCAGATGTCTGAGGGAGTTCTTTTGGTGCTGGATTCAGCTGGAACGCCTTTCGAAAGGATTTGGTGCTGCTTCGAGGAAGCCATTGCCCCAGCCTTAGAAATTCCTAGAAGTACGAGAAAGCATCATGAAACGAGAAAAATGTGACATGAACGTGAGTTTTTTTCGTTTGTGAATTCTGCCTGAAGGGACACGTTTTGATTTGTCCAGCTAGCAGCTAGCTTGTTTCAGTGCAAAATGCGAAACACAACCAAACAGCATGATGTGAATGGGGGATAACGAGCAGGAGCAACACCAGGTCATGTTCGTAAAGGCAGGCAATGCTTCAGTAGATAGTGGATCAAAGGAGACACTGGTCGTGTTTCACCCTAAAAGCGACCAAGGCGATCGAACATCGAGAGGGCAACTGGTCCAGACGACGTTTACTGCTTGATGTGGGAGCCACTGATGCATATGACAAAGCTACTCGACACAGAAGGGGTGGCCTTGTGTGGACATTTCCTTTGCGTGGTCTGATCGAAAGGTTGAGACCATCGCCTTTTACCGTAACCCCCATTTCTGCACCATGGTGAGTGAACGTAACAAGTGATGTTTAAAGTTTCGACCGTTCCAAACTTGTTGATCTCTGAGGCTCACGTGCTTACTGATGGACTTGCCGGAGCGGAAAGTCGAATGATCGGCATCATCGGCTTGCACCACAAAGCAGCTCGTGAGCGTCACTTTCCTCTGCATCTTTTGGAAAAGGGCTTGAAGGTAAAGATTGAAGAAACTTGCTGCGGGATTGCAAGAAACTTTTGCTGTTTTGATGTTGTTTGGAGAACCGTTTTATGCATTTGGACGATCGATTGAATGGACAAGGTCCATGGTCCATTGTTCATATTGCTCCATTTGCATTTTATGTATGTCACCTCTCAAAAATGGCTCATTCTAATTTAAGTTCTCTCTTTTTCCAGAAGGTGTCCGAGCCATAATCATGAGTTTGAATGTTGGACAGCTCAAGGAAGCTCATGCCACGCAGAACATCGACAAAGTTCGTATACTGAACAGCATAGCTCTTTCTCGTCTTGGAACTTGTGACTTTGAGCTTTTGCAGTCGTACCCCGCTGGGGATCCGAATTTCCAGCGAGTAGATGAAGCTCTTGCTTCGCACTTCGCTTTATGCAGCTGGTACGGATTTGTCCTTCAAGGAAGATGCACTGAACTTCTGGCCAGAGCTGTAAAGGCAGACGTTGGTAGAAAGATAGTGCAGCTTTCACTGACTGGGTGCCAGAATTTTTCTGACCATGAGCTTGACGTGCTGATCGAAAGCCTACCTGCAGAGTTGCGCGTTTTGCGATTAGATCTGGGATTCTCGGGTCTTGAGACTCTGGACATGTTCACATCGACGGTGCAGTGTTTGAAGTCTTTGGTCCAGTTGAATTTGCGCTTCACAGGTTCCTCGCACTTCAGGACTGCGGCAGGGCTTGGAGTTGCCCTGAGGGAGATGGAGAACCTCATGTACTTGGAGCTATGGTGCGCTGAGTTGTGAATTTCCAGTCACATTTTTCTTCATCTTGAACCAGCAAAAAATATGATTTTCAGCTTATTGTTTGCTGCGCTTTCAAAGCTTTCTTTTTGATTCCCTGGGCATGATATTGTTATTTTGATTTTTCTCAGCTGCTACGGTTCAGTGGCTGCAGGTTCATGAACTTGCCATGTTTGGAAGAATTCGGATGCTTCAGTTCTGCTTTGCAGTCTTCGCGAAACCTGGAGAGTATAGTTATTGATCTCAGCGGATGTGGCCAGGTATCGATTGATGCGAGGATGGAACTTCACCAATCCATCAAGTCACTGAAATGGTTGCGAGGCGGCTTGGACACTTGGGTCAACATTGAAGGTTTGCCAAAGCGAGAATGGTTTGCTCGATTTGCTCGTGTTGATTTTGGCGGTGTCATCAAAGGGCGTTGCACCCGGAGCTTCCGTTTCATCTGGCAACGCATGCGACAACTCAGTGCCCGCCAGCTGCCACACGTCAGCTCAGTGTACTTTGAACCAACCAGGTTTGGCAGGTCCAGCGCCACAAGCACTGACGAATCAGCTGGAGAAGATGCAGAGACAGAGAGTCACAGCACTCCACAGGAGATGTTTGATGAAAACAAACCGTTCCCATGCAGCCATCCTTCATGTCATTCTTTTCACTGTTCTGAGAGCGGTTATTGTGAAAGGCACCACTGGTCGGGCCTTGGCAGAAGGATTTGTGTTGCGGGAAATGCTTGGCGCCAGAATGTGGAGCTTAGTGTGCTGATTCTCGCACAAGCAGTGGCAGAGGTAGAGAGCCGATTTTTGTTGGTTCTTCTGGTTCTCAGCCTGTTGCCCGTTGCAAGTTATAGCTTTTCTCAGTCAGCAGGGGTGTCTGGCACGTTGATTTTTCTGATTATTATCTCAATTGCAATTGTCAGCATTGTTTACACCACAGCTCGGCTCAACAGAATGAAAACACTGTCAAGGAGGCTTGAAGTTGAATCGGAAGCTTTGTATGCAAAGAATTTGCAGAATGATATGTCCAGGCTTTTTGGTGATTGGGGTAGAGACGATATTGCCCAGCCTCAAGTCACGAGCTTGACGGAACACTTCATCGAAGCCAGAAATCATCTTGATGACTTCGACAAGAATCTGTGCCTTCCACTGCGAGAGTTCTTGGAGGAGCAGCCTGGTTCCATATCTCGGCGAGATTTGCGGCCCGTACTGATGACAGTGCCAGTGGCACAAGATGCTGTTGTGCGAGAAGGTGAACCCAGTCGAATCCTAGATCTCTTGTATTGCGATGTAATCTTCGATGATTGGGAAAGAATGCTCATTGCGTGGTGCTTTCTCAAAACCAGAGCAGAGCATGACGAGTTGAGAGAAATCAAGATCGTGCGTACTCGCGATTCTTTTGCTTCAGTCCAAGCTGGTGTCAGATGTGCCGAGATGGTGGTCAAGATCAACCACTATTTAGCCACGATCCGTTTCCGTGAAGCCTCCTTGACAAAGCTGGAAAATCAAGTGGATGATGTGCACCACTTGGCAGAACAGGTGGGACTTGTGGCGGGCAGTTTGCAGGTAGATCCTTTGCTTATGTCTGGGCGACCATCACAGCAATCACGATTGGTGGTCGTTGTTGTTGCTTTTCTTCGGATCAGCTCATTACTTGCAGCAGTGTACCTTGGGGGGCAGTACTTTGTGCGGTACAGCCCACCCTTCATCCGTTCAAACCTTCCACAATTGATCCGAGATGCTTTTGCTCTCAAGCAGACAAGTGAGTCCAGTGATGGGAGATTGCCGGAGGCTGTCGCTGCTGATTCTGGATGGTTGGAGGAGAGCCTTTCGCAGCTGTTGCCTTCCATTGTTTTCTCTTTGCCGTACCTGGCCTTGATCATTGTCCTCCTGAGCGACTTGCGCCGGTGTAGGTCAGCCAATATCAAGTTGAGACCGTTGAAACCCACCCAGCTGCTCTACGAGGAGTATTTTGGCATTGAAGGCAAGCTCTACGGCTTCAAAGTTGCAATGCTGCAGTTATTCACAGTGATGCTGCAGGCCTTTGGAAAGCTCCAAATCATGGGTGGCCTTGTGTCATTTGCATTCCATTCAGCTCCAAAGCATTCAGATGCGTTTGAAGGATGTTTTTGGGCTTTTGTGAGTTTTCTCTTTTTGAACAGCATCTATCCAACCATTCTGTTGGCCGTCCCCTCTGTGAAGTGGGTGCGGCGTGGTGCTGCCATGATGGATGCAGTTCTTGATATTGCTTACACCAGCACATACCTCATCATCACCTTGCTGGCCATCTACGAACTGCAGCTGGACCAAGCCATTTCAGGAAATTTCGGGGATGAGGCTTCGGTGAACTTCCAAGCAGAGTTGGACCCGGCATTTGCGTTCCCAGCCGACTTTTTTGGTTTCTTTGCTGTCTACTATTCACTTGCACATGTTTGCACTGTTTGCCGCGCCTTGGAGCGAAGCGATCGATCGACCTACTGGAAGAAGTTGCAAAGCTTACCGAGCTCTGCTTCCCGGTCACTGTTGATCCCATCGAGATTTTCTTGCTCAAAGAGATATCGGATTTGTTGCAAAGCCTTGCATTTTTGCTGCATTGGTTTCGTTTTATGTTGTTTCTGCAATTTTCAATCCATCGTGGTTTCGCAACCTGTTGACACAATTTGTCATGTGAGTATCTCGAAGCCCCTCAACTTGCCAACATATTTGTACAGAGGAGGCGTCTTGCTGTTCTCAGCTTTACTGTACTTGCTGCACCCTTTTATGCGTCCTAAAGCATACTAATACACAATCTGATACACCACTTCTTAAGCTGTTGTTCCCCAGCATCAACAGCCAAGGGGGTAAGGTTTTTCAGCAGGTTTCAAGCTTCCCAGGAGTTTCACAGGTCCAGGATTCCGAGGTTTCAGGGTTTCCAGGTTTCCAGGGTTCCATGGTAGCAAGGTGCTGTCGGGTGGCATAGTTCCAGGAGTCCCAGCAAAGGCATTCGCGAAGTAAAAAAACATGGATACCTATATGATACCAGTACCTATATATTTTCAATGTCAATCCCCTTGAAATTTGGTTTCTGGAATGGCCCCCTTTCATTCCATCGGGCTTTGATGGATGAACTCGAGTTCTTCGTTTCTCCCTGCAACCGCTGCTTAGGTATTCGCCCTGTTTGCTGGTCACGATCATTGCTCTATTGCTTTCAACGCACTTCTACCCGATTGACACAACTGACTTCGGATGCTTTCCGTGCCGCTGCCGCCAAAAGGATCATGGTGCAAAGCACCTTGCGAGCTGCAGCCTTGTAGGTGTTCTGAGCCTCAAAGATGTGAGCTTGAGTGAGCAAAACATCACAAGTGTTGCAGACGATGCCTTCACCTCTTCGAGGGGCTTGCAACGGTTATCGCTCTCTGGCAATCGGTTGTCTGTTTTGCCCGAAAAGGTGTTCGCTCCTTTGGACGATCTGCAACTCTTGGACCTGGGCCGCTTGGGTTTGCAACAGGTGGAGTCAGACACGTTCACGGGCTTGTCAAACTTGAGAATCTTGTCGCTCAGTCAAAATGGTTTGAAGGAGCTGCCAGAAGGCTTGCTGCGCCCCATGCCAGCCCTGGAGAAATTCTTGCTGGGGGGTAAATCTGATGAGAGGGGCCATCGCATCGTTGATGGAAACGAGCTGAGCATACTCCCGCAAGAGCTTTTGCAGCACAGCCCGCGGCTACAAGTTCTCGATCTGAGCGAAAACAAGTTGACCTCGCTGCCAAATCACATCTTTGATAAGACTCCTTTGCTGCAGGCGCTCGACCTTGGTTCAAACAAGCTGACTGAGTTGCGTGCTGAAGTTTTTGCAGGGCTCAGCAAACTCCAGGAGCTGGACCTGCGTCGGAACAAGCTCAGTGAGCTACCTGCTGAAGTCTTTTCCGGGCTCAGCCAGTTGCAGAAGATCGACCTGGGATTCAACAAACTTAGTGAGTTGCCCGCTAATGTCTTTTCTGGGCTCGGCAGGTTGGAGGAGCTCGACCTGGGGTACAACTCGCTCACTCGGTTGCATGCGGGAGTCTTTTCAGGACTCAGCAACTTGCAGGAGCTTGACCTGTGGTCGAACTTGCTCAGTGAGCTACCTGCTGAAGTCTTCTCAGGGCTCAGAAATTTGCAAGTTCTGACCCTGGGGTACAACAAGCTCAGTAAGTTGCCTGCCGAAGTGTGGGCCCATCTCTTCGCAGGTCTTAGCAACTTACGGACGCTGAAGCTGTGGTCCAACAAACTCGGCGAGTTGCCTTCTAAAGTCTGGTCCAAATCGTTTGCAGGGCTCAGCCACTTGCAGGAGCTTTACTTGGCCGGAAACGATCTCAGTGAGTTGCATGCTGGAGTCTTCTCAGGTCTCAGCAGCTTGCAGAAGCTCATCCTGGGGTACAACTCGCTCACTCGGTTGCATGCTGGAGTCTTTTCAGGACTCAGCAACTTGCAGGAGCTTGACCTGTGGTCGAACTTGCTCAGTGAGCTACCTGCTGAAGTCTTCTCAGGGCTCAGAAATTTGCAAGTTCTGACCCTGGGGTACAACAAGCTCAGTAAGTTGCCTGCCGAAGTGTGGGCCCATCTCTTCGCAGGTCTTAGCAACTTACGGACGCTGAAGCTGTGGTCCAACAAACTCGGCGAGTTGCCTTCTAAAGTCTGGTCCAAATCGTTTGCAGGGCTCAGCCTCTTGCAGGGGCTTGACTTGGGCGAAAACGATCTGAGCAAGTTGCATGCTGGAGTCTTTTCCGGGCTCGGCAGGTTGCAGGAGCTCGACCTGAGGTTAAACTCGCTCAGTGAGTTGCCTGCTGAAGTCTTTTCCGGGCTCGGCAACCTGCAGAAGCTTGCCCTGGGTGCGAACAGGCTCAATGAGTTGCCTGTTGAGATCTGGGCCGATCTGTTTGCAGGTCTTAGCAATTTGCGGGAGCTGGAACTGAGTTTCAACAAACTCGGCGAGTTACCCGCTGAAGTCTGGGCCAATATGTTTTCAGGGCTCGGAAGTCTGCAAGAGCTTCGGCTGAACGGCAATGATCTCAGTGAGTTGCATGACGAAGTATGGACCAATATGCTGTCAGAACTCGACCAGTTGCAGACGCTTGTGCTTTTCGATACCGGTCTTAACGAGTTGCCAGCAATTTGTTCAAAAGTAGAGTGCCGCAACTGAGATATCCTGCGGTTACGTGCTGTCTGTTTCTGTGAAAATGATGGGATGCTCTGCCTGGGGCTGGGAATTCGCAGCGAAAAAAGAGCCTACGCAGTCAAGTGACTCGATTCCGACTCCCCACTTCAGTCCGTTTCAACATGTTTCAACGATCCCTTCCAAAGTAGTTTCATGTTGTGTTCGCGGATTCTGATTTTTTTCATGATTTTGCGACTCGTTTTGGGAGCGCATGCATTGGGTGACCGAGGTCCAGTGTACCCACTGCAGTAGCACCTGGCGCGCTGACTGGAGAGACGTTCTGAAAAGACCGAGGCACCAGAATTCAGTCGAAGTCGCCAACGTTTTCAAAGTCACCTTGAAACTTTCTGTTCCTGTTGTGATCTTTGGGTGGGGTTGGTGGCGTGGGATGTTTTCCCCGGTATTTGCGGCTTGCCTCTGCTTGGAAACTCGTTTTCAGTCTTTGTAGGGTTCCAGATTGGCCCTCTTGTGGTGAAAGACTTCCACCAAGAAAAAGACAGAGTCTGAAGGGAGCAGAAGAGAAGTTGTTTCTTTGCAAAACGTTGAAAGAAGCCGCTGAGACAGGTGTAACCACTCTGTCGACCACGTGAAGCGCTGAGTGCTGCCATTCGGCACGCTGCGCCTTGGACCAGGCACCAATGGCTCTGGGAACATCACGCCGAGAATTTTTGAGTTTCGACAAGTTGTGGGTGTATGGCCATCCCTTTTAAGAACATGACAACATCATACAACATCATACAACATCATACAATATCATACAACATAACACGATATAATATCGTTTGAATCCAGAATCTGACGGGGGTCGATCCGCTGGGTTAAAATCCATGGCTGAGCTCGGAAAAAGGTGCTTGGACTTGACCCTGAAAGATCTCAAATGTTTTGGATTGTTTTGGTGCATTACTTGAGGAAAGCGTTGCAGATAGTGACAATTGCCAGGGTTTCTCAGCAAGGGCTAGGGTTTATCCATGTACACGCTTACAACATCTTATCAATGCCAGAACTTGTATGGAAGTTCAGCACCTTCAAGTCGAGATGGTTTTCATTGTTTGCGATGTTTGCGCCACTCAATGTGTGGACCGATGAAGGACAGCCATGTGACTATTCCGCAAGCTGCTCCATATTACCGGCTTTTCGCATGTGCACACACCATTACACAACTTGTGTGGGGATTCCGATATTTAGACACCAGTCATATCCTGATAAAGGGCGCCTTATCCAAAAGTCCCCCGTTTGCTGGGACTATGTCCTCGAAATGGGCTTCGCACGGGGAAAAAGATGAGCCTGGCTTCATCCCAGCACTGCAGGAAAAACTCACTGCAGCGGCTCGAACGCTCAGCACTGTGCGACGAGTTTCGAGAGTCGTGGGGTGAGGACATGGCCAGGGATTTAGAATGATTTTGAGTTGATACCAATTGACATACTATTAGTAACACGAGTTTTCATCATGAAAACAACGGGGTTATGACCTTGATTATCATTGGATATCATTGGCAGCAACATTTCTGGAACATCTGGAAGATTGCATACATTCCCATCATCTTTCAAGCACTATGCGGCCCATGCATTTTGGGCAGGTCAACTGTATTGAGAGACAACGATTTCCGAATTTTCCGTTGAGGCTCGGTATTCGAAGAGAAACCCGGGTCCACCTTCCCTGTCCCAGAGAGATGTTGAGGCCCCCGGTGCAGGTGGCAAGTGCTTCCAACCCCAACATGTATCCTTTGGTTGTGAAACCTGGTGATAGGAAATCCTGCTTTTACAGTTGACTTTCCTATTGAAACATTGGGTTTTCACGGCCAGGCTACGCTATTGGAGGATGTACATGTCAGAAGTTGGATTATAGATGATCATAATATGACTTAACACAGAATTTCTTTTGTTTTGTCTCTTTAGGATCCTGTAGAATCCTTTAGGGTTCAGGGGTGAAACGAACTCAATGCCCATCATTTTGCTGTCAGTCGAAGAGCTGCAGGACTTCTCGGCCTTGGTCCTAGACGAGCGCGGAAACCAAGCATGAAATATCTTTGATGACGGATGTTCCATCGTCTAGAATATATCTATAGATACCTAGTACCTGGATGTGCTGCCTTTTTAGCTACCTTTTCCAAATTTCGATCCTTTGTTCAAAATCATGGATTTTGAACAAAGTGCCGTAATTTGAAAAGGTACCTTTTTTTGAACATGTCCTTTTATACCTGATACGTCTTGATATAAACATGGCAGCAAATACCAACAAATGATGAATTCATGGCTCAATCAGATCAATCAACAGGGTCATTGGCATCTCCAACAGCTATAACCCTCAATGATAGTTTGTTTGATACCCTTCAACCCGGCATACTCTAGACATCTTTAGACACATGGGACTTGTTCAACACACACCCTATCCAATCTGGGATCACCCTCCGCTGCTTAGCCGATCTTTTTTGGCACAGTGTTTTGGTAAAGCCAACTGTGTCTGCGCGCTGAAGCAGGTGCCAACCTCAGCCAGCTGTGGCTCTTGGGGGTGCCAGTGCAAACTCCAGTGGAATGGCCTATCTTTAGAAACCGATAGGGGCTTAAATCAAATTGGAGAGAAAAACCTGGGGTTCATTGATTGAAGGTGTTACCAGTCGTGTAAATGTTGTTGAAAAGTTCCCATGTTCTCAACTCAAATGCCAGCATTAAGGTTTAATATATATAGATCGTTGGTTGTTAGATGAGTACCCATCTTCAAAGCATTTTGGATCATCAGCCACTGACCTAGCGAAACCATGCTCCAAATGCCATGTCTAAAGGATGTATCCCGCGAATGGGAGCAAGAGCCCGATTTGAGGGAGCATATGCGGCGGTCCAGAACCATTCTTCAATGGGATGACCCAAATGACAAGAAGGTGAACATCCGAAATGCTGATCTCAATTTCCTGGTCTTGAAGCCCTTGGTTAAACGCCTTCGCGATGATTCTGGAGATGTGGGTATGCATGCTCTCTCCCTAATCATGGGCCAGCTACTTGGTCAATCACTGGTTCAAGTGCACTTTAGAAGGGGTCTATTCCATATATGTTTCCATAGTCTCACCCCCCTGCAAGCTTATAATTTTATAACAAATAAAAGTGATATTAATAGGGATTGCAAGAGTTCCTATAGATGTATAGTTGGGTTTATGGTAATTTTGTTTATTTGCTCATTGCCAATTTTAAGGATGAAACTTTTCTTCGGCATCTTGGACAAACCTCTGCCCAAAAAAGCGGACCTCAAAAGTGATGCCAAGAAGATCAAGTCCCTCATGGTTTTGGTCAAGCAAAAACTTTCCCGTCAGCAAGTTTGCCGTTCCCAGAACTTTAGAAGGTTGATGGCGATGGTCTTTGACCCCGAAGAAAAGGAAAGAGGTTAAGTTATATATATGTTTCCAATCTCAGCAATCGAAAAAATATGTAATGTGCCTGTTTTTGAAATTGCACTGTTAAAGGTAAAACCTGTTAAAATAAAAATCATTGCTGGATGTTGAACAAAAACCTTCATAGGATGACCTGATTAGCATGAAAAATCCATTTCCAGTCGCCACCTGCCAGCCCTTTACAGGAGACACCTATTGAGGACACCCAAGATTGGGGAGGTGAGGCAGATGAGGATGAGGAGTGCGAAGATCTAGACGAAGATGAAGAAGAGGACGGAGGAGATGATTCCCAGGAGTCTGACACCACTTCAAGTTCTGCCGCTGGAGATACTTCTCCAAAGAGCAAGGGTTCCCGGGCATCAAGCCCTGCGAGTCAGGGGGGCGGTTCAGGCCTCTGGGGCAATGATGCCGGTGATGCCAGTGATCATTCTTGTGCAGCAAGTTCTGACCCCAAGCACGACAGGATTCAGCAGTTAACACGAATGTTGGGCGCGATGAGGAAAGAACAAACTGCAAAGACTTTTGTATCAATTATATCAGAGTTTACATTTTGTTTTGACTCAGGGCCTTGTTCAATTGCTTCCAAATTAAAACAACTTAGGACGAAAGTTTTTGGGACACATCAATTTTTCTTTCATAGTTGATCATAGTTGACCACATTTGTTTGGGTTGGTTCGTTAGCATTGTGTTGTTCAGAAACATTCCCGCAAAAGGAAAGCCAAAGTACTGGTGAACGCCCCGGACAAGAAGATTGACAAAACCATCATCATTGATGATACCATGCCATTTGGAGATGATCATAGTGATACCCAAGTACATCCCTTCATGGACGAGTTGGCAGACCAGTTCTCTGCCGAAGAACCTGTCTTTGATGACATGCCAGAAACCCCTATTGTGACTTGGGCAGTCCCCGCATCAATTTTTTCCAACCCTATTTTTACTTGCAACAATTTTGTGAACTTGCGATTTCCCAGGATACGAGTGACATCCAGTTTCCATGTTTTTTCCCTTCAACATGTTTTAAAGTTTGGGTTCAAGCCCTGTAGCATTTTATGTACCTGCTTCCCAGGTGACCCGCAGAGAGCAAATCAGCCTGAAGCGTCAAGAAGAACCGGAAGGTGAGACAGGTCAGAAGCCAGCAAAGGGGCGAGGAAGAGGAAGGGGCAGGGCAAAGGGCAAAGGCAGGGGAGGAA